TTTAAAACGCTATCGATCCATTCGTACAATCCACACCGTCACGGGATTGGAGGACAGTGCCTGCAGATGAATGCGTTCCCAGCCCAGGAATAGATGCTGCAGTCCAGAGGCAATAGCTTGTGAGTTTGGTCCTTCCGTCAGAGAAACCTTACTCCCATTCACATCTACCGGATATGTGTTACTATTAACCGGAGTTTGGTACCCGGTTGTAGAAGTACCGTTGCTGTTTGTCGTAGTGTTTAACTAATTCAGATGATTTGCAAGTGTTGCATTGTACCCGAAGGTGAGTGTAGTACAATTGTTGAAATTACCGTTCACTGTTGCCCCAGTCGGATTAGACAAAAGAGGGGATTGGACTAAAGGATAGCCCAGTAGGCGCTGATAGGCCATCGCCGTGGAAAACGCGTTCAAATCGGTAGCGTTTGTGACATCTGTGCCCAAATTACGCTGTGCGAGGCCGTTGCCCATCATTGTGGTATGGCTAGGTGTGTATCCAGTCAGGGGTAAAGTGTTCGGTGTGGACGGGCTAAGAGTGAGCAGACTTGATCCGGATAGATTAGCCAACCCCGGATGCGCAGAAGCCTGCAAACCCAAATATGGATTCCCATTCACTGCAGTGCCCAGTGTGACTGCGGCAGCTCCTTGTCCATAGGCTGACATCAGCAAAGCCAGAGTTGAAGGGGAAAGCTGCGATCCGCCGGCTGCAGCTGCAGCTGCCAGCGCGGCCATTTGGTTACTACCAGCCGAGGATGAGTAGTTGACCAGCAAATTTCCACTGTTCATCGGGGTCAATGATAGCTGGTGCGGAAGTCGGGCGTCTGTACTGGGTGTGGCTGTTAGCGCAGTTCCTGGGGTTTGCATTAGGCCGCCCAATCCAGTAGGCGATGCGGCCGCGGCCATAGCTGCGGGCATTGCAAAATTAGATAGGAGGCCAGTTGTCATCATGGGATTCATAGCAGCTGCTGCTGCCGCGGCTGCTGGGTTGTAATAATTGGTTGCCGCTTGAAGATCGGTTGAAGTTAGCCTGTTGTTATGTGAGGGAACCAGAAAGGAAGAAAACGAACAGTTCCGTCAAATGAATGAAGACAATAAACCGAGAAAAAACACGTCCAGACTCATTATTGTGTGGGAGGGGGTGGAAAAGTGTAACGAGTGACACCCAATCAAGCACAGCAAGAAACTCTACAAAATACACACACAGGCATTTCGTTGAGATTGAGCGCGAGGCTTGTTCATTGTACAACCTATGGGTAGTTAGTTGTCGGAATAATGATCGAACTACTGATATGTTTGAAAGTAGTCAGTTTGTGATTCTATATTTCCGTACATTTACCTCACCGGTCATGATTAATGCTCATGGGAGGATCTGGTCTCTAATTTCGAAGCGGACCGCGAATGAAATTGATTGATTTGAAGAGCACGCATCGATGCAGAAATTTCGGATTTTAATGAATGAAAACCATCCAATTTACTGTTGTCGATCCAGGAAATTCCGGTGCTTATTGGTTATGTTTCGGCCTTCGACACCGAGATTACCAGTACTGTCCTGCCAGATTAGTGGCTAGGGTGACGTAATTCCCAACATACTTATTACGCCAAAAGTGACGCGTGTGCAACGCTTGAAATAACCGCAATTCAATTAGATGCAGTTTTTGAACAAAAGTCACTTATGTATATTTGTGCGTAGGCGCGCGCGTGAGCACACTTTACAAGTCTAGCATGAGACGGTTGGACTACTTGACCAGTCGTGATTTCGGGTGATCTGGCTACGATCATGGCAGGTTCAAACAAGTCCATCACGTTACGTACGTTACGAGCCTTCATTTCAAATGGGCATAACACCACTGAATGTGCGAAAAACCCAATCGGACGGAGATGAAGGGGGACTAAAATGATGGAAAAACCAAAATAAACGAATTTTCACATCCATATAAGCGGATGCTGATTGCAATTGACACGTTTCACGTCCCGGGAACACACAATTCACATTTGGATTTGAACATATACCACCACACATCAACTGAGACAGCAAATTAGAAGGAACCGGAACTGGGCATGCACAACAAACTGATTCTCGTGAAAAGAAAGATCGACGGGAAATCCGATCTTGAAACACGCAGAGAGCCACAGCGAGAGAGAGAGAGTGATGCCAAAGAGAACAAATGCATAAAAGGATTCAACAATGTATATACGCAAGACAGAATTGTTTCCTTTCTATGTGAAGAGCGGAGTAGTGAGAATCGGGAGGACAACAAAGCCCAATGATTATCGTACATATGGTCGATAGGAATCACGTGATATAGACCAAACAAACCGAAACCAATATGTGCCTGTTTGGACTGTGTCGTCACTGGGCAGTGGATGATAACTCGTGCAGTGCGATTATAAGGGCAATGGACTTACAACAACAAGAATAACACTCAAGGAAGCTAACATTTTGTACAGGTTGACAGGAAGTGAATCACCTCATGGAACTGCCTGGTCAGTGCACAAATCTTTCGGATGATAGGTCAGGTACACACTAATTGCTTTCTCAAATGTATCTACATAGCATACTTGCCATTGAGTTCGGTGGTACATGATTTGGTTTGCGAGGTTCGAAACTTGGATCTTGTGAACCATCATGATCCACACAAAGAGTGTGTGATTATCATCATCATCCTTTTTGTACTGCGTAATACAGTTAAACAAAGGTTGGGATATCTGAGCAGTAGCCCACTACCCACCCCGCTCGAGACAATGGGCGGCGTGGTCCTGATTATACTGCGGATCTGGGGACTGGATGTTGTCTGATCTCTACGCTTCAACCTTCCATGCATGATTAGATCTTCTGGCCTGACAAAAGCCATCCTGTGTAGCTCGTTTGATCATAGAGGTGCACAAACATATAGGTGCATTGTCGTCATGATGGAGTGTGTGAGAGGGAGAAAAATATTGTTTACTACCATCACCACCCAGAAGTAAGTAAACTGTGTACTATTAAAAGAGCAAAGATGGAAGATGAAAGAAGTTGACGAAAAACGGAACTCCGATTATTTAGACGGCTCATTTACGCCACCAAATTCCTCCGAATGAGGGGGAAAATCATTATTGGTACGGAAGTATACTAAACCACGGGAGCAGTAGGATGTCTATAAACAAGAGGAAGCTTAACCTGGTCGAACAGAGTGAATCATAGTTTCAACTGAAACGCATTTCATGAATGAAACCAAGGTAGTGAATGGGATAGATAGCATTAGAGGGAAAAGGAGACAGATATGTGGGGGGGTGGGGTGGTACAGCACGTCACAAAGGGAGAAAACTCTATCCACACTCACACACGAGGCGTGATATAATCAGGACGGTGATGACGATGTAATCGACCACATAGAGCTCAAACCGAGAACACGTGTAGACAATCAAACGGAACAGAATACAAACATACAGATACACACGAAACACACGCACGCACGCACACACGACGGCAAAGAGACCAGTACCTCACTGATATCCCCTGAGATAGAAGCAGAGATAGGGGACAAGATATTCTTTTCGAACGAAGCAACAATTCATTAGGAGAGAGATAGGTAAATACGCACCCTAACGATTACAGTTTCACCAGGAACAATCGCTGTTCCAAAGTGAGAATAATTAATTCGGATCGAAACAATCAAAGTTTCTTCTCATATTTTTTCTGAGTTTTAGACAACAATTAATGATGCAAAACATTCCGAAATTTAATGAAAGCAGGAACATTTACATTAGAAGATCAATCCCAATTTGTGTGAAAGAAATTATGGCGCGAACTGTTTGCGCCACATGTTGAATCCGATGTGAACGGGGCAGATGGATTGCGAAGTGAGTACGACAGCTTGACCTCCATGCAGCATTATCTCGTCCCTAGTTTACGGCGTTAGCCGTGAGAACAGCAAAATTCACTAGTTTCTCAAGTGACTTCAGTGTGTTTAACTAAATTTATTTAGGTTCCTACAACCGGATTAACATCATACGTATGCAAACCATTTTCATTCATGTATTTCGATCGATGAAGGGTACGCAATAGCTTGCGTGCAAGAGGACACCAGCCATGTAAACTTT